GGTTTGAGTCAGAGGGCAGCGCCTCTTTGGCTTTGTTTTCCACACAGATGTGGTTCTCACTAGAAATCTCTCCCAGCCAGATGTAAAGGTCTGAGGGAGAGGGTTGGAAGAGGAATCATCTGCCATTAACAGGATTGTATCTAGAGGCGTGGTCCAGCTCACTGGAAGTCCTGACAGCAAGGAACAAAATTAATTAGAACTCTCAAAGGGTACAATTGTCTCTGCAAGACAAGGTAAGAAGGACTCAGCCCACAGAAGAAGGAGAAGTGAGATTGGTTGGCTTTAAGCATGCAAAGTCAATGGGCAGATCGGGTCTATATTGCCTGGGTCTGTTTGCCACAGAAAATAAAAGTACTGTGTCCAGGAAAGACATTTTTGTATAAGAAGTGTGGAAAAGTGATCCAGAAGGAACCTTAAAATTGCTTTTATCTCTGTATTTGTTCCTCAATAGGGTTTAGCCAATACCAAGAATTAAGACAGGGACTCTCAAAAGCTTCAAGCCCATTTCTCAACAGTCTGAGCTGCAAAATAAATCTCTGCAGATGGTGCTGTGCAAGTGTCACATGCTCTGTGAACCACGAGCAGACGGAGGTGCAGATTGTCCTCCAGGGGCTGCTTTACCCAGTGGGAAACACAACTGAGTCAGGAGACAGCGCTGCAAGTCGTCATAAATCATGGTGACAAGCAACCTATCCACTCACAGGTCTCTACAGGAACTGATGAATCATTTATTAAAGCTCCCATTAGTCATTTATTACTCTTTTATAAACCATTTATCAGCTGGTATTCAAAATGGGAGCAAATCATATTTTTCACTTAAGATTCCCAGCTCTAGTGTATCTCACGTCTCACTGTGGTGTGTTTTGTCAAATTACACAAATTTTATTCTGTTCACAGGAGGCAAGATCGCAAGACTGGAAATGTTTTTTTCTAAGAACATATATATTAAAAAAAAATTATACCAGAAAAGGTATTTTTCCTAATCTTGTTCTCCCTGGTGTCAAAGAATTATTTCTGATGTTACATTTCTTTGTCCCAGAAATTGATGGATTTGAAGGTGAGGCTGGAAGAGGCAGAAAGAGGAATTGTGGGAGGAATGGTTGCTCCTGGACAAATGAAGTCTCTGTTTGTTATGTGCCAGTGAGAGCACTGTGACAAATCCCACTTTTCCAGGTTTGGCTGAGGATGGCCTGAAATCTCAAATCTGTGGCAGAGGAGAAATGGGGGAACTGGGGGTACTGCAGAAAAATCATCCCCCTTCAGCCACACCCTGCATTCCTCTTCAAGTGCCTGACAGGATTTACCAAGGAGAGACAATATATCTGATATTAAGGGAAAATAACACATTAAAGAGCAGCAATGGAAGTTTAAAAAAATTCAGGGCAGAAGATAAAGGCAAACAGAGTCAGAGGAATCTCATTTCTGAGTAGGCAGGAATGGAATAAGTAGGATTCATTGGACTATTCTTCTGGAGAAGGAAGAAAAGACAGAAAGGGGTCAAGTCCATATCTTTCTTGTGCTAAAACTCTTTTTTTTTCCTCCCCAATGTTTTAGGCAGTATCTGGGCAGAGCCAGGCCTCCAGGAATACAAGAGGAGAATTTGCCAGCTCGTGTCTTTCAGCAGATGCTACGCTGTTAATTTTTCATCACACCGCAGCCACAGTGACATTAACTCTGGACTAAAATCCTTTTTTTTTTTTTTGCAGGATACAACACTGCAGTGATCTGTCAGCCACTCTTACAGTGACACAAGAAAAGAATTCTCATTTTTGGAATGTTCTAGGTATAAAAGCAATACTCAGCACCATAAGTGTTCACCCAGTCCAGCTCATTCCCACCCACTTGGAATATCCTGCAGGATGCAAGACAGGTACCAGCTTTTCCAGAACAATCTGTGCCTGCTCCCTGCTCCTTTGATTCATTCCTTATTTCCACATAAGCAATCCCTTGCTGCTGAACAAAATTTGAGTCTAAGGCCTTTCCCTGCTGGAAAGGAAACTCCAAAATCCTTTGTGACACAAAATAATAATTCATAACATTAATTTTAAAACTTTTTCCCATTACAGAAATAAGGCTGTAAATTTTACAAAGAGGCCACTAACTTTGCAAGTATCTCTATTTTCAGTCTCTGTAATTTCAATCTGGCACAATATCCCAGCCACTGTGACCTTTTAAAAGGTAGACCTTGCTACCTCACCTGGGATTTTTGGAGGCACTCTTAAAATATTGCTCTATTTGGCATTAAAGATGAAATTATTAAAACCCCTGGAGGGAACAGGGTACTGTTTGCACACCTGAATGGATTTTTACACTGCTCAGAGCCTATTATTAGCAGGAAGTGTAGATGTGAGACAGAACAAGACAGATATTTTGGCAGCGTGAGGAGTGACAGGGCAGTAAGCAAATAATGAACTGGGCTGGATCCCACGAAGCATTGCCTCATTTATTGAGCCATCAAAGCCTCGAGGGCTTCAGCTTTTCCTCTGCAGGTAATAATGGAATTGCTCTGCTGGGTCACAGCCAGGATGCTCAGCTTCTCCTGGGCTTACACCCTGACACTCCATGGATGAACCTGTCCTGCCTCAGACTGGCCCAGGGAGGGGGAAAGGTGGGTGGGAGAACAGAACCCCTGGACAAGCTCTCCCAGGAGAGGAAATTTTCACAGGATCACGTAGGGATAGGACAAGTGGGGATGGACTTTAGCTAAAGGAATGTGGATTTAAATTGGATATTTGAAAGGAATTCCTCCCTGGGAGGGTGGTGAGGAACAGGTTGTCCCGAGATGTGGCTGCCCCATCCCTGAAAGTGTCCAAGGCCAGGTAATAAAATAAATAAACGAAGCTGCACTCTGGAATCAAAGCTTCAGATCTACTGAATTTGAGCTTTCTCCTTCAGAAGCTGCCTTAGAAAAGATTGGTTTTTTTTCTTTCAGCTCTAATTCGAATCAATAGTATTGCAGCCTGTGGTGTGCAACTGGTATTAAAATGCAATAACTAAGCACTTTCAGCAGAAAATCAAATAAAGTGGCAATAAATTAATTGATAGACACCTCCCTCCTCTTACACACTTATTCTAAAGAGAGAACCTGCTCCTAAAGGGGCTGGCACCACACATTAAATGCTGATTTTTCCTGCCTTCTTCATGGAATAGGAATATCACTCAGCAAGGCAGAGGGAAGATTTCTGAGGTCATCAGCATCTCTAAATAGTGAAAGGTTCAAACTCACATCAAACCACTAAAAAAAAAAAAAGAGATGTCACTATGGAAAACAGAAAAAAATGCAAGAAGAATATCTAAAGAAAATAAGACAATGTTGTCTCTTCACACCTATTTAACTTCCATGCTAAAACCCCCAAACTTTCCAGGGCATAAAGTATCTTTTACTGTCACTGGCAGAACTGAATTTATGAGCATTTCTGAATTTCCACAGAAATTGATACCAACAGTGCATTTGTGGCTAAGCAGGCACATGAATTTTTGTGTCCAAATTGCCAAATTATTAAGTCAAACATATATAATTATAGAAAGACCTCTTCAAAAGAATTCTATCTGGAAATATTTCTTCCAGAGAAGAATTCTCCAACTTTGGAAATTCAAGTAGGAAGGACTCTGACTGACATGAATTGCTATCAATATTGATTAATCCAATAAATTCTTATTTCTAAGTACAACAAGCTGTCCTTGTACATTGTTATTTTCCAGAGGGTTAAAAAAAATACAGCATTTCAAAGATATTTTAAGTATTGGTTGTCAGGAAACAGCTTTCAGAGCATTAAAGGCCTGATCTAAAAGGTAATTCTAAGGGAATTAATAGCTTGATCATAGTCACTTAATTGTCACCTATGTCCTTGAAAGGTTTGGATCAGTCTCTCCATGATAATTTTTAGGTGACTGAAACATTAATGCCAAAGCATTTTACTTGTGTAATTATAGATATTTCCTTGGCAAAATTGTCATTGTTTCTATTTGTTCTTATTTTTCTTTTTTTTTTTTTAACCCTTCTCTGTCATGTTTCAATCTGGTATTTATTTACTTTGTAGTTATACAATAAGTAATTTTTCAAGTAAAATACCTGGAATTTGTTTCAATATAATCCGTTGCCAAATGACTAATATTAGGCCAGGAAACAAATTTTTTAAAGGAAAATATACTTCTGGCTAAATAAAAAAAAAAACTTCTACTGCAACAGGCTTTTCTTCTTCCACAATTATCTTAAAATCAAGATCCTCAGGTTTACTTCTCATATTTTTGGGATTTTTGTTTTCCTTAGAAGTTTGCAGAGTCCCAGGAAACCTTTATAGCAAAATTGAACCTGGCTGTTATAAGGTGAAACTTTCAAAAGACTTTAATTCCCTACAGATCCCAAAAAACCAAACTCAGTAGATGTAGGGGATGGAAGAGAGCAGTGTGAGCAGGGCAGGAGCTCTGGTGGGTGCAGACAGGGAATTCCCTGGGGTTTATCAGAACTTTCCAGCACCTTTCAGCTGAATTCAATTTACAGGGGAAAAAAAACAAAAAAAAACCATCCCTGGAAAATTCCAGCTGTAGGTTAAATTTGAAGCTTTTAGGACTGGAACTTTAATTACAGAACCCCAAGCTCTGGCTGGCTCACAGGGGAAGTGCTGTAGACAGGCAGAAAATGTTGTTTTCATCCACAGTCCTGACCATCCAAAGCCTTAAGCTACTTTTGCTATTTCTCCCCACAGGAGCAAAAGGAGAAAGTTACCACCAGCAAATTTATTTTATGGGTTTGTAGCCCTGGTAGCCAATCTCTAAATGACATAATTTTTTACCTTGTGGTTGCACTGTGGTTTGGAACTGATGCACACACGTTTATTAACGTGAAAAAAAGAGAAAAGAGCAGCTCCAGGAAAGTCTGTCACACTGAGCTAAAACATTCTGTACGTGTCTCCTTTCCTTAAAGAACATCTTTATATTTAGAAGCCAGCTAATTACGACGACTTGCACTGTTTTGTAGAGAACAGATGGCCAGCTCTTACCTCCTTCTTGGTGAATTCTGGTGCGTGGTCATTTTTGTCATCGATAAGGATGGTGGCAGTGGCTGTGCCTGTCAGTCCCACATCCATCCCACCCATATCCTTGGCTTCTATGACCAGCTCATACTTTGGGCTTTCCATAGTCTGAGAAAAAAAAAAAAAAACAACAAAAAACAGAAAAGGAAAGGTTAAGGAAAAAAAACCAAAAACACAGAGATAACATACTGTTTTAAATTAATATTAAATAATGAATTAAATAAACCCCAAAACTTTATTTGGCCTAATAAAACTTAGCAGAGAACAGATCTGTTATCATAGTTTGACTGAAACATAAGCACAGCTTTCTATGATATCAGCTGCTACCCTGGAAACCTCATTTGCAATCCAGCATGAAGGTGAATATTGGTAAACAGTACATAATTTATCCTGTTATTTAGGAAGATTAGGAAAGAGGTAAGAAATTAAAATATACTTGCTCTTTAAGAGTAAGCTCTACCTTCAGTGCACCAATATTTAGCAGCTTGCTTCATCAGTGTTATGATGGGTACATAATTAAATACTAATGTCACAATCTACATATAAATTCACTTTATTAAATTCCATTCATTCTGGGTATTAGCATTTAGACTGGTAATCTAAGTTTGCTCCACTGCAAGAAACAAAAAAGCAGTTTCCAAAATGGACAGAGATTTCCAGTTACTGCCCAAAGCAAATATGTAGACTGATATTAATGATTTCTAATACTGATATCTGATTGCCATGACATGGGTTCTTATCCACCTACTGCAGAAGCACAGGCCCATAGCAAAATCCAACTGAATTTCCACTCATAAAACACAGCCTGAATCTGGTAAAAACCCGTTTGTGGTCAGTTCTGGAATGGGAATGTGCCAGACTTTGGAATTCCCATCTCTCCCATCAGGGATGGAAGCACACACGTCTGAAAGCTGCACCAGGGCTCAGCAATAGCTCTGAGCTGCTCTCAGCATCAGAACCTGCTCCCCTGGAACTCACAGGGAATTCTGGCATGGCTTTCACTGGGAACTTCATTGAAATGAGTTTTGTGTGGCTGGAACCATCTGCCCAAAGGCCACGGGAGCAGCCCCAGCACAGAGACACAGATGGGGAAGTGCTGCACTCTGGAGTCACACACTGACAACATTACACGGCCCAGGAGTGTTTGTCCAAACCCTCCTGCAAAACAAATAAAAATAAACCTGGATCCCAGGGGAAAGCTGCAGCCAAGCCACTGCTTTTTGGAACTGCAGGAGCCCAGGATTCCCAGCTTTGCCATCCTCACCCATAGCCTTTATCCAACACTTTTCCAGGGAATTGGCAGCAGGGACACAACCCAGCAAAGCATCCTCTTGGGTCACCCAATCTGCTCTGTAGCCAAGGGATTTGGGAGCTTTTCCCAAAGAGAGAATTCTGCATTATATGTTTTCCTGGGCACATCCCATCATCTCTGGTTTTTTGGAGAACGTGTGAGAAGGAGATCCCAGCTCCACTGTACGTAGATTTTAAGCATTTTTAGGTCAAGAGAGAAGCAACCACCTCACTTACTCATCAGATCATCTATTATGAAACAATGTATTTGTATGTAAAGTCAACAAGTCAAGCCAGGAGATAAATTTTGTCTTAAAAACGTATGGACTGCTAGGAAATCAGATGCCACTGTCACACAGGAGATCCTAAGAAATCTATTTCATGAAGTCTTACATTATTCCATGAAATTCATCTCAGAAAGCGGCAAACCAAGAACAGGAATTTGATTTATAACATCATAAAAAAATATGCAAAGAAGCATTACTGACATGTCTGCAACACAGACTCACACCATGGAGGGGAACTAAATTTACAGTTTTCATACATTTGTTTTCTAAAGTGCATTAAAACCTGAGTGAGACTTCTGTCCCCTCCCCTAGCTGAAACTTTTTCATTATTTTGATTAGAAAGTCATTACTATTGTATGGAAAATGTGCAAAGCCATTTATCACTTCATGTTTATAAGCCTCTTTGCTCAGAAAGAAGCCCATTTTTACTCACAAATTGGCCTTTTTTTCCTTTGAAAACCTTCCCATTTTCTATTGAAAGCAAGCCCATTTATGCTAGAAATTGCATCTACTGCAGCAGAAATGCCTGTGACAGGAGTCCAATGTTTAAGCTCACGCAAAATGTGAAAAACATTGAATTTTGAGTAGTATTTCATGTAATTATGAATACTTCACACTTCCCTGCTATGCAGCACTTCCTACAACTCGTTCTGACACCAAATATTTGCTTTGTTGGAGGAAGCAGCTGCTAACAGATGCAAACCCTGAGCAGAGGCTTGTTCCCATCAGAGACTCTCTTTGCATTCTCTTGTAAAGGACCTTTCAGAATTCTCCTGCTCCCAGCCCGGCCGAGTCAGGCAGCAGCAGGGATTGTTTGGAGCAGTGTGATTTACCAAAAACTGGATTTTTGCAGGCAGAGCAGGGCTCCCTGTGCTCCCAGCAGCCCCGTTCTGCAGGGATGCTGCTGCAGAGGGGCTGTGCTGGGGGCTCAGGGCTGCTCTGGAAGATCTCATGGCACCTCCTCAGCATTTCCCTCTTCTCAGGGCTCAGACCTTTGACCCCAGTGTGTTCTCCCTCCTTTTTCTCCTGTCTTGTGAGGAATTAGTGCTGCTGGAAGGAGGCAGTGGAGGAGAACATCCTTCCTCCCCAGTGTCCGTCCCTGCCCAGCTGCACGGGGGCAAGAAATGCAGCACCCAAAATTTGTATCATTTTGGGGCCCCACAGAGACTCAGACGTGTCCCACCAAGTCACTGCCTGTCACTAAACCCAGGCTTGCTCCTAAATGACCTAAGCACGGCCTTGCAAAAGCAATCCAATCAATGCCACTTGTTTAGTGAGATATTAGCAACAGAAATAAGCCCCAGCTCTCAACAAGTGGGATCTGCAGCTGCAAAGGGTAATGGATTATTTTAATAAATGAACATCAAGTCGCTGCTGGTGTGGCTTGCTATTTATCTACTGTGACTTTGTGGAGTGTGACACTGTTGAGAGGGTTTGTATAATTACAGCAGGAGAGCCATTCCTTTCCCCATAAATTTTCCCTGTAGCCGTTCAGCCACGGCAGGGGTGACACTGCCAGCTCGTGTGGCTTTCCAAGGAGGTGAGCTGTGTCCCGAGTGCTCCCTCCAAAGGTCCCCTCCCTGCCACCCCCACCAGAGTTAACGTTGCCATCAGGTGCCACTGCCCTGCTGCCCTGACAAAACTGGCTCAGCACCACAGAGCAGGGACAGGCAGCAAAGGCGCTTTTTCAGAGCTCAGGCTCCTGACAAAGCCAGCAGGAGCTGATCACAACACAGCCAAATAAGCAGCGCACTCACAGGAGAAACAAACCAAGAGAGAGCTGTTGGGAAATGCTGAATGAAGCCAGGTGATGATGGGTTTCTGCTGGGTTTTAACCTTTCAATATTACACATACAATAAAAACCTATCAGTGAGTGAAGAGAAGAGAGTCTTGACTGTCAATATTTCAGACCAGCAGCAGGAACAGTCCAAGCCTTGGTCTGGGCTGTCCAAATTCAGCTGGAATTGGCAGCACCATCGGTGCAGTAGAACTCAAAATGTAAGGTGAGAACCGGTGGAACTGCTTGGGTGATTACAGGGAAGGTTCAGGGTCCTTGAGGCTGTGAGTCCCTGCAGCAGCAGGACTCCAATCACTTCCCCCAGGAAACTCCAATTCCATATTCCTCCCCTGCAAAACACCCATGGATTGCATATTTTGGACAGGGCACGCTCAGTACCACAGCACCCAGCCTTCCTTTAGTGCTTCAGTCGTCATTAAAAAAAAAAAAATCTACATCTATATTTATATCTACATCTATATCTATATCTATATCATCTATTTCTATGTCTATGTCTATCTATATATAGGAGACAATAGAAATCCCCAAATTTTGGGAAGCAAACAATGCACGGAACATTCAAAATCCTTACAAAGGATCGATGCTTTCAATACTAATTATCAATAGAGAGTATTCTGACTATTCCGTGGATATTCGTATTTCTGTAATGATGTAACAGTGCCTCGACTCTTCTATTTGTAATTCTGTTTATAAACTATGTATTCATGCATAATTCTGTATCAGGAGTGTGCTGCCTTATCGTATTTGGTACTAATGACTTTATAATATAATGCTAACCAGAAAGAAAAATTCTTCGGGTTGAAATCATTTCAGTTGGTGCTAAATAAATGCTTGTGTTCATTTAAGATGATAATTGCATATAATGCATACTGAATATGTCCTATTAAGACATAATCAATGTTCTTGTTGAGTAACAATATCAACATTGAATCTAACATTATCCGAGTACGCTTGTCAGGATTTTGACAAATGTAAAATTAAAAAAAAATGAAGCAAAGTGACTATTAGCAGCTCTAACAGACATAATGCTTTGATAATTATAATATCAGCCTTTATTTTAAATGCCAGTTTCTGCTGCTTAAAAAGGGCCATATACACAGAGGCTTTGCATTTAGAGTTTGAATTACAGTTTGATGAATAGAAAAACCCAAACTATTCTGTAACATAAATCCTCTTTAGCTCACCAATTTCCAATTTTTTCATATCATAAAGGAAGGTCTACAGTTTAATCACGGTAATAATGTACTTCTGTTATGAAGAAAATCAATATCTATTTACTACCCATGGGAGACGTGGAGTCCATGGATATATCTGGAAGCAAAAGGAAGACTAAATTTTCTCCTTCAGCAGTAGCCATTAAAAAAGGAAAGAGGTTGCTCCAAAGTGTTTGAACCAAATTGGTTTCCTGGCCAGAGTTATTTGTTTTCCATCATGATGAAATCTGTGACTATTTAATATATAGGGTGTATAGGATCAAGACTTTAATTCCTCATAACTTACATATTTATTTTAAATTTTGCATAAATTTGCACATTTAATTCATCATAATGCTGGCCTCACCATAGGGCTTGTGTACATGGATGAGTTTGTTACGTTTTACATGAAAATACAGGAATTTTATGGCCATACTTTCAACAGCCTGTGAAAAATTACAAGTTTTGGCTGATGTACAAATTAGGATTTGGATATTGAATTGATATCACTTTGTAGAAGGCTGTACACATGTGCATCT